AGCAACAAGGGGTAAATTTTACAGTATGTATATTATACCTCAATAAAAATAACTAGCAAAGCTAGTAAACAATGCTACGTATGTTAAAAACCCCTGCTGACTACTCTCAAACGCTAGACTTTTATTTCAGAGCTAATTGTAAGCACAAATAAGAGAGTGAAACATGCCTTCCCAATTGTACTACATCTGCAGGCTACATTTATTTTTCAACCAACAATTATCAAGGAATTACTGCAGGCAAGACATTGTGTATCACTCTCCTTTGTCTGCTACTGAACACCACTAGCAGATGTAAAAGAAAAGCTACCATAACTCTAAATTCCCTTACTATAACTATTTTAAATAAGATGCAAAAGGAACAAGGAAAATGAAGCACTTCAGTTTATTAGAAAAAGAAACATTATTACAAACAGTAAATACAGGGATAGGTAAAGGAGGTTTATAATTGTATTAACAATACAATAATAAATAATACAAGAATAAACTGTTTCAAAAACTCACAACTGTAAACCTCCTTTTGCCTACCCTGTATTTTAAAGCTAAATAAAACTGCTAGTAATCATAAGTATGCTTGATAAGGCCTGAAAATTTTTCAAAACAGTCATTCATAGTGACTTATAACAACTCTTGGTTTCTGATCCAAATCTCTCATGCCCTTTGGTTTTGGTTTTATTTTTGTTAACGAATATTGCCTTATTATTAATAACAGCCAATATACTATTTTAAAGAATTCAACCCTGTGCCCTGGCTGGTGTGGTTCATTTGGTTGGTTTCATCCTACAAACCTAAAGATATTGGGTTGATTTCCAGTCCAGGGTACATACCTAGGTTTCAGGGTCAATACTTGCTTGGGGCATGTAGGAAAGGCAACCAATTGATATTTCTCTCCCTCTTTCTCTCTCCCTTCCCCACTCTCTAAAATCAGTGAGCATGTCCTCAGGTGATGATTTAAAAAATAATCACCTGGAACCCACCATTTCATCTGCCTTTACTCATTAAGTATGGTTTCAACACAGGCATTATGACATTACCAAGGTATATAAGAAGGAACTGGATGTTTAACCAGAAGAAAAGCTAGAGGGGAGGGGGAACAGATGACACATGATAAGAGATAAAGCTGATCAGCCTTCCATACAAGATGTCTTGACTTCACCTAAAATACTGAATAAAATTAGTTTAAATCCTTCCCAAGACAAACGGTTTCAGCACAATCCAGAAAATATCCAAATCACCATTAATTTTTCCTACCTGACCTCCAATTAATTCTACTACCCAAACTCTCTGCATATACAAATGCTTACTTATCTCCCTTCCTATAGATAGATAACAGTCAGGAACATAGATCGAAATGTTTACTTGGGAACTACTTTAATATCTCTTATTTAAGCAGGGGTATATTTCTACAAATAACTCCTTTTACTTAAAAAAGAACTGTTCGTTCAACAAATATTTTCAGGGCACAACAATTGGAAGACAAAAAAGACCCATCTCCCAAAAGAGCCTATATTCAGTCCATTAAATAAAATAAAAAGCCAAGATGTATATAACTCAACAACACTTAGTATATGAAGCATCCCTCATCACAATCAACCAGGTAGTTAGGATAAAGCAAACCTGCTCTGCTCTGTTTCTATCTAAATAAAGGATTGCTAAAGGAGGCTCTGCTATTCATTCCTATGGCCTAAAAAACAACCCCAATAATAATTGGTTAGAAATTAGTTCCAAGTCTATAATCTCTTTAAAATAATGAAGTAAATTAGACATTGAATACTAAGTGATCAATTATAACAAAAAAAATTGTAAAGCACTTTACACATCTGAACAAACAACCCATACATTACCAAAGTGAATCAATAAACTATATAATCATTCTTGGACATAGAAACATTCCCAAAAGATTATCGATGAATCAAAAACAAACCTCAGTATTTCCCCTGTCACACAAACACACACATGAAGAGAAACGCTAACCACTGTGACTCAAATGGCTTCCGAAAGGTAAGTGAGAATCACTTGGGACAACTGCATAATTTAATCACACTTTAAAGGAAGAGAAAAAAAATAAAGTACAGATAGGAGAATGACTCTAATCAAGAACAAAATGAGAAGAGAGAGTTTTAGTAGAATCCTGAATGCCGCCATGATTTCACACTGATTTTAAAGATTAAGCTTCATATAAGCTAACCTACCAACAGAAAGTTATTTTGTGTTTTTTCCCAAAAGCTGTAATAAAATTGCTCTGAGTCATTCTTCTCTTTACCAATAAACCTTATCACTGATAGCTCATATATTTTTTTAATATTAGCACAAAACAGAATTTTAAGTACAGCTACAGAATATTCTTCCCATGAGGACTCTCCAGGGGTCCGAATGGAGACCAAACCCAAGCATCACTCCCCAAACAGGAGGTTTCATGACCAGAACACAGAGCTAGAAACAGAGGCTCCCAATTAATGTTTTGGGAACTTGAATACTTAGTCAGATCTTCTGATAAAATTTTTGTACCCTTACTTCATACTTTCCCTCAGAATTCCAAAAGGAATAAAAGTAACATTAAAAATAAAACCACTGTAAGCCCAGGCCCAGTAGGCCAGTTGGCCAGAGCCCAGTCCTGATGGGGGGCCACGGTTGTAGGTTTGCTCCTGGGCAGGGCACAGACAAGAATCAACCAATAAATGCATCAGTAAGCGGAGCAACAAGTCGATGTTTCTCTCTCCCGCTCTCTCTCTATTAATAATTTTTTTTAAAAAATAAGTAAGACTATTATAGCACTAAAAGAAAATTCAGGTATATGATATCACATTCTTGGTTATGGAGAATGACATCTAAGCCAGGAATCACTCTTCAATGAGAAGACCAAGCAATTTGCTTACCTAAAAGTTTCTCTCACTAAGTTTAAAAAAATGACAAAGCACATGTACCATGTAACTTTGTTTTTTATATTTTTCAGACATAAATATACTAAAATATGAACTCAAACAGTGATTATCTCTGTGAGAAGACTATATACAGGGTGGGGCAAAAGCAGGTTTAGAGTTGTGAGTACAAGAAATGCAGTTTATTCTTGTATTATTATTTATTAATTATTGTATTATTTTTCCATACAAACAACTGTAAACCTACTTGTGCCCCACCCTGTATTTAAACATCTAAAAACAGCAATGACAAAATCTGATGTCAACTGTCATGCCAGTAATGTGTCACCTCAACAAAAATGTAAAGTGTGTGGCTATATATATATCGATTACTGGTCAACAAATGAATGGACTGAACTGTGTACTGAACATGTACAATGTTTCATCTGTTAAAATAGCCTTCATTTTAATAATTTAGAAAACACTTTAATAAAACAGAAGTAAGGCTCTGTCCAGGGAGCTCAGTGGGTCAGAACATCATCATCCGGATACACCAAGGCTGTGGGTTCCATCCCTGGTCAGGGCACATACAAGAATCAAACCAGAAATAAAGTGGAACAACAAGTCAATGTTTACACCTCTTCCTACAAATCAATAAAATGAAATTTTAAAAAAGATGAGAATGTATATTACACGTGCGAATGGCTTAGGTTCAGAATAATCCTAATGATATGAGTAACATCAGTAAAGACCCGAGATGAAAGTCTGAAAAACTTCTATCTGAGATTGAATATGAACCTGATGAATACTGTACTATTTTTAACCGAACTTTCTGGCCTTGGGTCAAAGTTTTGCTAGCAAAATGCCACGGTGAAAATGCTGGGAGGGAAGCCCAGAGTCTAGCTCTGGCCTGGGAGAAGCCATGCCCTTCAGGTAAGACGTGCAGATGTGCAGAGGGCCACGCTCACGTGAAAACACGCCGCACCACACGCGTGTGGAAATCGGACACGGCACAGCACGCCGGAGCCTCCGCACACCGGGAGAGGTGCCCCTGCGGCCGCGGCCGGCTCCTGCCCTTTGGCCCGACGGCACTGAGTCACTTCGCAAACCCTTGCAGAACCTCCAAGGACGCCAACTGCTTCCGAAGAAAAGGCACTCGCTGCAAAGGGCGGAGACGCCGGTTTTCTCTTCGTTCGGTCACTAGGTTTTTCCCCGCGGGGAGGAGAATTGAACATGAGTCCCGGTAGAAAATACTCAAAAAAAAAAAAAGAAAGAAAGAAATCCACGGATCGCCCGCCCGGACTCCAGTCCTCTGGAGCTTCCAAAATACTCTGAGCGTCTCCTTCGGGTTCTCCCGCCACCCCAGGGTAAAACCCCACACCCTCTGGTCCCATAAGCGCATCTCCGCTGCACGCCGACCACACCACCGTCTGTGAAACACGACCGCCTGTGCAAACAGAAGCAACAACCTTTCTACTTTGTAAAGCACGGCCCTTTCTCCGTCAAGAGCGTGGAGCAGACTCGACGTGGCCGCTGCTTGGCATTTCAAAGGCCATCGCGGGGAAGGGGCACAATGAAAAGGGCTCACTCCGCTCCGGAGCTCAGGCTGAGCTGATGCGACGGCCTCGGTAAACTTAAGGCACAGAAAGTCAAGTGCACTAAAAGGCAACGACGATTGCTCCAAGACATCAGACTCGGGGGGCAGAGGGAGGGCAGCACCCCCGGTGGGTGAGTAGGCACTCCCAACGGGGGCAGCATCAGGTTGCCCCTCGCCGGGACGCAAGGCCCCTCGCGGCTTGACACCCTCTCACACTGGCTACTCGGGGGGGTCTGAAGGACAGCAAACCCTCCGCCCTGCTTCCCCCAAATCCAGAGGGTAGGCGGGAAGGAGGAAAGGGGTGTTTCCTCCCAGGGCTCCAAGGCACGAGCAGCCGGGTTTGACATCGGCTCCAGGGGGTCCCTAGCAGGAAGCAAAGGTGGCGCTCCGCGCCGGGAACTCGGTCGCCGACCCGGGCCCGGCTGCCGGAAGCGGGGCGGCGTGGGGCGAGACCTCCCCCGCCGGTGGGGGGGCACAGAGAGGCGGGCCGAGGGGGAGACTGGAGGTCGCAGCCCTTGCGGGGAGGGCTCCCGGCGCCGGCCACCTACCAGCAAGCTCTCCACGTTGATGGGCGAGCGAGGGTCTCGGATCAGCGCCTCCAGCTTCCTCTGGCGACTCGCGCCCGACGCGTCCCCCGGCTGCTCCTCGGGGGCGCCGGGCATTTTCCCCGTCGGCGGGGGCCGGCTCATGCCGCCGCCGCCGGGCCCGCACTCTGGCTCCCCGCGCGCCGGCCCGGACGCCTCGGGGCCTAGCGCCGCCCCCGAACCGCCAGCCCCGGGCGGGGTTCCGCCCGGGCCCACGCCCGCCTCTAGCTCCGGCTTCGGGTCTCAGCGCCGGTCCCGGGCCTGGGGCTGTCCAAGGGGCCGGCCTCGCCCGGGAGGCCGGGAGCAGACGGCGGCGTCCCCGCCCCTCAGTCAGATTCGCGCCGCCGGGTCCGCTCGTCCGCCTAGAGCTGGCTCCCTCAGGACTTCCAGAGCGGGAGCGGCGGCGCCGCCACCACCGGGCCCTGACCGCCCCGCCTTCCGGGGCTCGAGGGGCTGACGCCCAGGCTCAGACAACTACGGCCGCAGCCAGCCCGCTCCCATGGTCTCCGCCCGCCGCTTCAGTCCCACAAGCCCGCTGCCCTCACACACTCCCGCGCCGCGCGCAGCCGCTACCCACAAGCCCCTCGGCTGCGGTCGCCGGCGCGCCCCCGCAGCCCCGCCCCGCCCCGCCCGGCGCGCGTCCCCGCCCGCTCCGCCCCGCCCCGCTCCGCTCGGCGCGCGCTCCCTGCGCGCCTCGCCTCCGCTGCCTCTCGCCCCTTTTCCTTTCTTCCAGTCCGCTCCGTTGCGCGTTTCTACGTTCTGAGCCCTCCCTCCCTGCTTGCCCCTGACCCCTCCCTTTTCTGAGTTCTCAAAGGGTGAACGGCCGGGTGTGCGGTCACTGCCTGACTTGGCCTGCCGCGCTTCCGACCCCCGCCAGGGGCTGGGAGAGCGCGCCCGCGGCTGGGACCGGCCGGCGGCTCTGCTCCCGCCAGTCCCGACCCTGGCGGACAACCCGGGGACTCCGAGGACGACCCCACCACCCTTACTACCCCGTCCTGAGCCCGCTGAGTGGGGGCGGCAGTGGGGGCTGGTGGAGGGATGGATGGGTCCGCGCCCCGGTCACCCCCGCCCGGCCCGGGCTGACTCAGCGCGCAGCTATGCGGGTCTTGCATCACCCGCGCCAAAATAATAGCGACCGTCAGTTGCTGCTCTCGCCTGCAGAGCTCTGAACTTGCAGGGGGCCTCCCTGGGCCACAGAGCTCTTACTGGCCAGGCTGGGAGGGTATGCAGTGGGAGTCGGAAACTGGACGTGGACAGGCGGTTGGAATCCTAGTCCTGGGGCAGGAGGGCCTGGCAGAGTTCCATCCGGCCCCAGGGTACAAGTCCTGGAATTCCAAAAACCTTTGTGCGCCTGCCTAACAATCCGCTCCCAGCCTGGACTGAAACCCTAATCACAAGACAACAAGAGAGCGATAGAAAAATGCTTTCCATCCGCAAGCCTTCGCGAGGTCCTTGACTTTTGCGGGGCGGCAGAAGGGCGGTTATAGGGGCCGCTCCTCCACATTCCTGGCCCGCGCCATTGGCCAGATCTACCCAGGGCGCAATCTGAAAAATATGTGCCAAGAGCTATAAAACTGTTCATTGAACCCCTTTGACCCAGTAAACCCATTTAAGGAAGTAACATTTCTGAGGAAATGATCCAAAGGGGGAAAGAAGGGGGGGCGAACTTGTATAAAGATGTTTATAGCAGGACTATTCAGAATGTTCATAATGGCCCAAACCTGGAATGGACCCAATTGTCCAACCATTGGGGAAGAATCCAAACAAGCTCTGTCACATTAACAGAAAGACTCCTGGCATATATGCAAGATGCATGTCAAGCACATGAAAGTTTTGGCAAGCACACGAAAAGATGTATCGGAAATAAGGTTAAATGAAACAACAAATATGAAATAGCTTGTATGCACTACTTAAAACTATGTAAAGTGAACAGCTGTGAGAAGGAGGGAGACTGCAGCTGTTTTAAGTGGGATGTTTTTGCTGTAAAGATACTTAAGAGAACATTAAATTTTCAATAATTGAAAACTACTGTGGAATGGGCCACTCCAAAAAAGCTACAATCTGATACCCATTAAGTAATGTCTTAAGAACCATTCTCGCTGTCTTGTCAGAGATAAGCCCACATTTGGCAACTTAGTTCTAAAGCCCTGACCTTGTAATAGTGACATTTTAATCAGTAAGTGTTCTAGGAGTCTCAGCTTTGGTTTTGTGTTAAAGGCACCCTCCCTTAGATGCAGGCAGGAGGAGGCCCCGCTGGATCCAAGATAGCAGTTTCTCCCTCTCAGATAACACCACTGACATCTGGTCAAAAGTTAAGTGCTTCAGACTGTATGTGGAGTGACTCATTCATACCTCTACAGACCAAACTAAGAGGAGGGAATGAGCCTACACTCCTGCTGTATGGGGGCAAAATAATGAAATAATCCATGATTACAGATCTTTTTTTCTAAGAAGAAGATGATATGCAAAGCAAAAGGAGCACCATGTGGTTCTCAGGTTCCAAACTAATTTTTTCAGTGACTGCCAATATGTGTTATGGAACTTGGTGGCCTAACAGGAAGCCATAGTCGCAAATACTAGACATGAAAATTCTATGTAAAAAAAAAAACCCCAAAAAAGTAGTGATCCACAAGGTACAGATAATGGGCACCTTTTGCTATGGTCATTTACATAGGCTAGAAAAAGCCATAGTGTAGAAGATCTTTATTCGAGACCTCATCACTGTCTGCATGGAGGTAAAGAAAACTAATCTCTTGATGTGAGTTAAACCTTTTTTATTTTATTTTATTTCCTTCTTGGTCAGTAAAACAATTCTTGTTTTACCGAAGTAATACACAATGCATTCTTGTAAAAGGTTGAACAAACCAGCAGTATATCGAACATACCTTGAAAAACTACTCTCCTGTATCTCCCCCATAGACGTTCTCTTCTCATTCAAGACCTTGATTCATTCTCATACATGTGTATTTGTATATGCCCATATGGATCATTTTCCCACATATACGGCATCATACCATATAGTGTTTCACAACTTGATTTTTCCCTTTGATTGATATGTCTTAGAGATATCGCCATATCTGTACAAAGAAATCTACCTCATTCTTTTTAACTGCTGTACAATATCCCGTAGTACAGATGAAGCATACTTTTATTTACTCTTGATTAGGGAGCATAGTAGTGAAGAAGAGACTCTGGAGACAGAGTGTCTGGGTTAAAATCCCACCACCACCAAACACGAGTTCTGTGTGTCTCGGTTTCCTCATAATGTTTGTTACAAAGTGCTTAAGTGAGTACTGGCCCCTGATAAATATTAGTTATTATTAGTATTTTCTCACTGTCACAAACGTTGTTACAGCTGGCATTCTTGTATTTTTGCCTTCGTGTGGACATTTAAATATCGACTCCTACAAGTGAAATTGTTGTATCTAAGGGGAGGCATGCTTCAAATAGTTACAGATATTGCCAAACTATCCTTAAAAAGACTACCAGTTTACATTCCCACCCTCAGAAGAAGAAACTGTCAATTTCCCTTTACCTTTGCCAACATTAAATATTATAAATCTTTTCAGTGTTTGCCAATTGGATGGCAAACAAAATGGTGTCTTGTTTTAATTTGCATTCCCTTAATTACTACTGAAGGTGAGCATTTCATGTTCCTATTTCTTCTGAAATCACCTGTGTTTCTTCTATCTTTTGTTCATTGGACATCCGTTTTTCGTATGAATTTGTAGGCACTCTGTATTTATTATGGATATTCCTCCTTTTTATAACATAACGCTAAAACGTGTGTTCTACTTTGCAATTTTTTTTTCTTCCAGTCTGTTGTCACTTACTTTTGTTTTCAGGATCTTTCGTCAAGCAAATGTTGTTACCTTTTATGAACTCTCATCCACCAATAGTTTCCTTTATATCTTCTAAGTTTTATGTCTGGGTGAGGACTGAAATTGCAAGAGACCGTAAGGAAATAGCAGTTCCCTAATAAGTTCCTAACAGTTTCCTAATGTCAATCTCATCTCAACCTCTACTGAGCCACAGAAAGAGGGTCTCCCTGGGCCCACTCTTTTCAGAGCGGTTCCTGCTGCAGGTTTGTGATCCTGTCCCAGGTTGCTGGTTTCCCTTTTAACACTGTCCCTTATGTGTCCTGAGCACAGGTGTGACAGGTGGGACCTGGATTAAAAACTTTGTCCAACACTAAGGAAGAGGAACGGGGAAGTATACACGGAGAGTAGAGGGCATTTAAACAGGCTGACCTGTCTGTGTATAAGAAGGCTTTGATTCCACCCTAACTAGTTTGATCTGTGAGACTGAGCATCTCCACCCCATTTTATATGAATTTTGTCTACGTTTCTTTTCTCCATCTCTTCATGCCCAGCCCATTTCTAAGTGGCTGGTGCCAGTTTAACACCCACTACCCAGCAATGCCTTCCTAGCTACCTGGACACTTCACAGTCCAGACTGAAAGAACAGGATTCCCTTCCCTCTCTGATCTACCTGAGACCCATCTGCTCTGCTCCAACAGATGGAGACCAAAACCAAAAATTTTTTGGTCTTTTTATGTGGTACTTGAAATTACTTGCTTAATGATAATAATTATTATTAGGCATAAGGGTTTACCATGTGCTATGCCATGTGCTTTGTAGAAATTACCTTACATCTCAAAACAGCCTTTTGCTGATGGTAATATTACTATGTCCATTTTCCAGTGATGTAATAGGGACTCAGATGTATGATAATGGAATGAATACATGAATTAATGAATGAAAATAATGAACTCTGAATGGTCTGGGCATCACCAAAACACCTAACAGCCTTTCCCATCTTGCTTCACATCGCAAGCTGGTGTTGTAATGTAGCAAAGTGCTTCTGTCCCACGTAAGCCAAGACTTAATAAGAGAATAAAGGCATGAACTCTCAATTCAAAGGTGTCATTATTTTTGTAAACTCTGCTATTATAAAGGATACGGGGTTTAATAGTTTATGAAATAGAGTTTTATCCTAAGTTTCATTCACGGTACTGGTAATAACTCCCAGCATGAATGAGAAAATTGCTGTATCCCTCTATGAGTCAGTTTCCTCATACACAAAACAGAAATAATGAAGCTTGGTTGTCATTAAGGCTCCTTAAGATCTCCAGATGAAAAGATACTGGGTGCGTCCAAGACCAATTATTCACCAGTATCCTAGGAAAGGTTTCTCAGAGGAGAAAGAGCTGGTCACAGCTCCCAAGTCTGCTTGGAAGTAAATGGTAAGTCCCTCCAAAAAATATATACATGGGAGGGAGGACCCCAAAACTGAAATTTATTTATTAAAAACTGTATTTATTCTCACATGTTTAAACTTCAGCTGATGCTGTACTCTCCAGCTGATACAATACCCCTATTGAGACATTTTTTCCACTGCTCAAAACGGTTTTTGAACTCATCGATTTTGATGCCTTTTAGTGCTTCTGCCATTTTCTTTTGTTTCACTTCTTCCGCATTGGCAAAACCTTTCTCTCTGAGGACTTTGTTCATCCAGGGAAACAAAACAAAACAAAAAGTTGCTCTGGGAGAGATCAGGTGAATAAGGA